CTAAACATATTCTAAAAGGTAATTGAATAAGCTTTCCAAATCTTATTAGTAAAAGTTGGCACAATCATATTAAATGGGTGCGCTCTCAACCTGAACATAGCCCATTTTTCAATATTTTAAAGTGAAAGAACGGTAATATTCCGAGTAAAGATTCGGACCATCGCACAAAATTCTGAGCATCTAGCTATATATATTCTGAAAGGTAATTGAATAAGCTTTCCAAATTCCATTAGTACAAGTTGGCACAATCATATTCAAGGTGCGCGCTCTCAACCTGAACATAGCCATTTTTCCAATATTCTTCATGTAAAGATAGGCCGGTATTTTTTTCGAAGTCGAAATTCGGATCATCGTACAAAATTCTAAGCATCCAGCTATATATATTCTGAAAGGTAATTGAATAAGCTTTCTAAATAATATTAGTAAAGGTTGGCACAATCATATTAAAGGGGTGTGCTCTAATATTAAACGTCGCCAATTATTCAATATTTTCAAGTGAAAGAACGATAATATTCCGAGTCAAAATTAGGACCATCGTACAAAATTCTGAGCATCAAGCTAAAAATATTCTGAAAGTTATTTGAATAAGCTTTATAAATATTATTAGTAAAAGTTGGCACAATCATATTAAAGGGGTGCGCTCTCATCCTAAACGTCGCCAATTTTTCAATATTTTAAAGTGAAAGAACGATAATATTCCGAGTCAAAATTAGGACCATCGTACAAAATTCTGAGCATCCAGCTATAAATATTCTGAAAGGTAATTGAATAAGCTTTATAAATATTATAGTAAAAGTTGGCACAATCATATTAAAGGGGTGCGCTCACAACCTGAACATATCCAATTTTTCAATATTCTAAATGTAAAGATAGGCCGGTATTTTTTTCGAATTCGAAATTCGGATCATCGTACAAAATTCTAAGCATCCAGCTATATATATTCTGAAAGGTAATTGAATAAGCTTTTTAAATAATATTAGTAAAAGTTGGCACAATCATATTAAAGGGGTGCGCTCTAATCCTAAACGTCGCCAATTATTCAATATTTTAAAGTGAAAGAACGATAATATTCCGAGTCAAAATTAGGACCATCGTACAAAATTCTGAGCATCCAGCTATAAATATTCTGAAAGGTAATTTAATAAGCTTTATAAATATTATTAGTAAAAGTTGGCACAATCATATTAAAGGGGTGCGCTCTCATCCTAAACGTCGCCAATTTTTCAATATTTTAAAGTGAAAGAACGATAATATTCCGAGTAAAAATTCTGACCATCGTACAAAATTCTGAGCATCCAGCTATATACATTCTGAATGGTAATTGAATAAGCTTTCCAAATATTATTAGTAAGAGTTGGCACAATCATATTAAAGGAGTGCGTTCTCAACCTGAACATAGCCAATTTTTCAATATTCTAAATGTAAAGATAGGCCGGTATTTTTTTCGAAGTCGAAATTCGGACCATCGTACAAATTCTGAGCATCCAGCTATAAATATTCTGAAAGGTAATTGAATAAGCTTTACAAATATTATTAGTAAAAATTGGCACAATCATATTAAAGGGGAGCGCTCTCAACCTGAACATAGCCAATTTCCGTTCTTTTACTTTAAAATATTGAAAAATTGGTGACGTTTAGGATGAGAGCGCATCCCTTTAATATGATTGTGCCAACTTTTACTAATAATATTTATAAATTTTATTCAATTACCTTTCAGAATATATATAGCCGGGTGCTTAGAATTTTGTACGATGATCCGAATTTTGACTCGGAATATTACCGTTCTTTCACTTTAAAATATTGAAAAATGGGCTATGTTCAGATTGAGAGCGCACCCCTTTAATATGATTGTGCCAACTTTTACTACTAATAATTGGGAAGCTTATTCAATTACCTTTTAGAATATATTTAGTTTGATCCTCAGAATTTAGTAGGATGGTCCGAATTTTGACACGTGTTATTAACGGTCTTTCCCTTAAAAATATTTTTCAAAATTGGCCATGTTTAGGATGAGAGTGCACCCCTTTAATATGACTGTGCCGACTTTTAATAATAATATTATTTAATTACCTTTCGGAATATATTTAGTTGGATGTCAAGAAATTTGTAAGATAATGCGAAATTACATCTCTATTCTGAGCTAAAGGAATGGATAAATAATAATATACCGGTAGATGTATTCTACTTGCATTTGAAAGACGTAACGTTGGATTTGATTGGTTGATAAAAATAGTTGAGTTTGGGCGACTGTTGAATTTATTCTGAATAGGTTGCCAACGAACAGGTTGCCAGCTGGATCGGTCGAATAGGTCGCTAGCCGAATAGGTCGCCAAATTGTGTTCGGTCTGATTACGGACACGCAAATACAAAAAAAAAAAAAAAATAATATCTCGAGCACTCGAGATACTAAACTGTTTCAATGGCATTTAGTAATTGAACTAGAGTATACAGGTCACAATTCTATGGAATACAATTACTGCTTTTTACTGAGCGACGTTTCGACTAGGCTTCTCTAGTCATTATCAAGCTATGATAAAAAATGAAAATATGACAGGACAATATATACATGTACACCACAATGCTAAGTTAATGATGACAAACCAGGGATGTAACTTAATTACGTGTACCTAATGGTAATCTGATTTAATTGTACGCTAATAAGTAATAATGGATAAGTTGTTGTGGAGTATACACAGTGATTAGTGGGTTTTAATAATACAAATGTTGCAAGAAAATGAAAATTGATGAAATGTTATCAACGACCCCTTTCACTGAAATAAATACAAATGGTAAAAGAATAGATTGTTGTGGAGTATTTACAACGATTTGATGAGGTTTTGATAATGACAACATCCCACGAAGATGAGATTTGATTTGTGTTATAACCAAAATAATTGATATGTGGATGTTGATGCGAGTGATTACACTGATATACGAAAAACCCTTAGAACAATGACTGCACAATGATCAATAGTCCCCTGAAGGTTGACAATTTAAAATATTGAGTGGTACTTCACTGGATGTTATGGTGATGTAGAAAAGCAGGGTTAGAAATATTGAGTGCATTAAATTACAATAACCGCAGGCCTGAAAAGCATTGAGTGCATTAAATTACAATAACCGCAGGCCTGAGTGGTACTTCACTGGATGTTATGGTGATGTAGAAAAGCAGGGTTAGAAATATTGAGTGCATTAAATTACAATAACCGCAGGCCTGAAAAGCAGATGCTTTTCAGGCCTGCGGTTATTGTAATTTAATGCACTCAATGCTTTTCAGGCCTGCGGTTATTGTAATTTAATTGGTATTATTACTTATTAGCGTACAATTAAATCAGATTACCATTAGGTACACGTAATTAAGTTACATCCCTGGTTTGTCATCATTAACTTAGCATTGTGGTGTACATGTATATATTGTCCTGTCATATTTTCATTTTTTATCATAGCTTGATAATGACTAGAGAAGCCTAGTCGAAACGTCGCTCAGTAAAAAGCAGTAATTGTATTCCATAGAATTGTGACCTGTATACTCGAGATACTAAGTCGAGCGCTGGACTTGAGATACTAAGTCGAGCGTTCGAGATAATTAGTTAAATTTTCAACTTGCAGTTGGGGGCAGTTCGTGCAAAACACACTGATCAGCAATGAATACTCCCTATGCCTCCACAATCACTGATAAGGATGACCAATCTGTTTCACAGAGCTTTTAATAACGGCCTAGCGAAAATTCACTCTGATCAGTGTGAAGGATGACATCGATGCGACTTAATGGGCCACAAATATTAACTTTTTTCCACAGACAAATTAAATTCTAAGAAAAACAAATAAAGCCGTTTGACTGAAGGGGAATTGATATATAGATACAGAAAATTTCTATATTTATATTTAATTATCTGTAGGCCTACTAATAAAAAGGAAATTTTCTGAATTTGGCGATCTGTAGGCCGGTCAATCTGTTTCACCAAGAGGATACGAAAGTCTTCTAATAATGTTTTCACAGAGGATTACGAAATCTCTTTAAAAGATAACTGCCTTTAAGTTTTAACAAGTGACGTCACATCACACGGCGTCAATCATTGGCTCAATATGGCACGTGCATTGTTTACATAAGACGTTACTGGTTCGGGCAGAATGGTGCCTTTTACTCATTTCGATACCCATTCACACTAAATAGGAAATTATTTTTACCCACAAATACATCAAATGTCTTTATTTATTTTTCTAATACATAAAAAAAATGTTTTAGAATTTAATTTGTCGCATCGATGTCATCCCTATCACTCAGTGATTGTATCTAGCGAATACTCAGTGGACAGTAGCCTAACTCACTGAGCTGATCACTGATTAGTGTACGTGGATCTGTATAATGTATATGCACAGATTCACAATTCAGAAAATTTCTGAATTTGCGATCTGTATAATAATTAATATACGAAGCTCACAATTCAGAAATTTTCTGAATTTGGTGATCTGTATAATATTATTATATATCATTACCAAGCTCACCACAGTCGCCGCAAAAAAAAAGTGGACTTATTGAGCGGTGGTCCTTTTTACCGCCGACCACCGCCAACTTCCGCCGACCAAATGCTTTTTACCGCCGACCGTCGTGTAATTACCGCCGACCAAATATTTCTTTACCGCCGACCGCATTGTAATGACTTTCGACCGTAATATAATTACCGCCGACCCAATGGTTGTTACCGCCGACCAAATGCTTAATGATTTCTTGTTACCTCCGACTATTTTACGGTTGTTTTTTTTATAAAAAAGAATACAACAAGAATGTTATTTTTTATTTGAGGTTTAATCGCGTACAACTGTCGAAAAACATTCATATATATATTTCTATGTTTAGTCTATATTTTTTTGGTACCGATTCAAGGGAGGTAAATCCATTAATTTATAAAAGAGTCTGGCGGTTCAAGTCTAGCAAAAAAGGGGGAATAATAATGTTATTGCAAAACCTGAGGTAAGTGTGGTTGCCTAAAGCTTGACAGATTTTTTTACTTGATTCCATGTAAAATAATGCGCATTGTAAGGTAGAATGTAAGCAAAAAGTGATGTACACTTAATATTGGATTATAATGTACTATTTAAACGAATTATCAACTTATGCCACTGTTGGCAAGTAAAAAAGTACCGGTGTGATTTTTTTTTGTGATCCTTATAAGTTATATTGATATAGGCTAATATAGCATAATTTTAGACTTATTGGTTATCCTATTGAGACATTAGATCTAGATCAGATTAACAATATTAGACCTACTGGTCAGCAACAATACAGATACCTTTATTGGCGAGATGCCATAATATGGCCATCATTTAGACAAGATAACAAACCTCACACATCTCTCAAGACTCAACCCTCAGTGTTTCGAGATAAGAGATGGAACTATATAGTTCCACGTAGCAAAGCCCAACACAAATCACAATGGGCCTCAGTAAGCAAAATTGACAATATTTTTCGTCAAAACAACGATTGATTATTGTTATTTATATTATTTCTGCCACATCCAACTACAATTGAGCATATAATCCTACCTGAAATGGGTATAAATCGTTGTATTTAAAATTGAGGCTTTTAGCCGTTATTGGGAATGCCATTTTTAAACGGGAGATGTATGGCGGTGTATGTCAGATAAAAACAACGCTTCATTAATTTAAATGCGAATATTTGGAGTTAGGCGATAGTTGTACCACTACATTGGCCTCTGTAAGTTTAACTAGTCATTATACATGTAGTATAAAATTATCTTATTTTTAAGATGTTACATGCATTAATAAAGAAATTGAGTTTGCCACTTGGAACTAAAGGCACCCAATCGTAGCTAAAAACAAGTACATCCAGTATATCTCAACGTTTTTACTCTTAGCTACATGTACGTTCTCATAGCTACATTTAGACCTGAATGCTCATGTCTATCTAATTTAGTAATACCGGTATTGCATTCATGAACCACCTGTTTAGGCAACAGCAAAATTTTAAATATATCATAACAGACAATCTGTAGACTCCCCCCCCCTCCCTGGATTACATGCATCAATCTTTCAGCCTTATGTATCTAAGATCCACATAAAAGCCAATAAGTCCCTGATCTATACCGGTGCCCCTTCACATTGAAAAAGTCAAAATCATATTCTGATGCAAAGCTTTGGGTGGATATTAGAATCAGTCCACCAATCATGCTGGCAGTATTGGTAGTGCGCAGTGATTAATGTACGCTTACATATTAAGAACAATATTGGTGGTTAGGGCCTATCTAAATATTGATCGAACATCTCTTTTATAATTTCAGAATGAATTAGATAAGAAGAATGAATCTTCCCCGATTATCTGGTGCTCTGCGAGTGTTTGCTAATGTATCTGCTAATGTCAGTGATCAACATGAAGATGATATTTCATCTAGAAGAAGAAGTCAGACACAAAACAAAACAAAAGAAGGTCTTACATGGAAGGAACTGAATTCAGCTGTTAGAAAGAATGCCAGAGTAGATAGTAAAATGTACAATACTGCTCTGAAAGAATTGATATCATGTGCCAAATCTATAGGTAGGAGTTGATGTTACACAAAACACATGTACCGGTAATTAAACATGCATTATGCAAGAGCAAAATCTGCTTATTACAAGTCTTTCTTTAGGCCTGAAATGTTATCTTAATTATCAATTAGACATTAATTAACTTATCCAGACCATAATAAACTCTCGATGTCAGGGCTAGCCTTCGATGTTAGCTGGATTAGATTCCTATATGCCGCTAACGGCCATTGATAATTAAATAAAAAAAAAAAGTGGATAATCGAGACTATGCTGTTTATATTAATGGTTTTAGTAATGATGACCGAGACTATGCAAAAATTTCACCCGCTTCTTTCTCGGCTCATAGTGGATCAATTTGACTGAAATTTTCAGCAAATTACCTTTACACTATCTAGTTTTTAACTATTATAGCGAGAACTGCCATCTCTTTATCTTATCTCCCATAATGTATCTTTAATAAGAGTATAATATTACATACTCACATGGCATGTTAATGTCTAATCAATCAGTGTAATACTACATTTAATGACCCCATTCTACTAGCATGTTAAGTGGGCTAAATCCCCAGAAAGATGTAAGGTGACACTCGCAGAAAATTATGAAGATTATTTGTGGTACATATAGTCTGCGATGCCTTTTGCTGAGTGATTAAGCTGTCAATGTAATTGTAAAACACCTTTTTACAAAGGAGAAAAACAATGCTAAACTAATCTTATCCCAAACGTTTATCCATCAAATAATTTATATTTGCAACTTTGTGTGAAGATGGCTGAATTAATTTTAATCAGATTGGTGTGAACTTGCCGTAAAGTACTTATAGTACCCACTGGCTATAAGTACATGGAATTTTGTTTGATCATTTGATGTACTCTTTAACATTGACAGAGATCAGGGCCCGGTTCCCAGAAAATTCTTAAAGTAAGCACAAAGTCATGCTTCACTTTTGCTTACGTAAAAAACTTTATATAATACCGTCTCGAGAAAATTCTCAAGACCATTCTTACTTAAGCACAAGTCAAGTATGAGTCTAAGCACATTGTGACTGGTAAACTGAGACTCGATGCTCTCTAAAGTATGCGAATTACGTCATAAGTTGGTCGGCTGCTTCGATTTAGATGCATTTGACATGTCCCCTATACACATATACAATGTGCCACAAGCTAAAAATAACACAAGCACATGCAAACAAGAATTTTCTAGAGACGGTATTTTATAAAGTTTTTTACGTAAAAAAAAGTGAAGCATGAATTTGTGCTTACTTTGAGATTTTTCTAGGAACCGGGCTGTGGTGTTTTGAATCAAGGTTACCATTTGCATGTTTTACGTAAGTCTATGTATAATTTTCATGATTTCCTGAGGGGGTCACGTGCAATCACTGGTCCACTGCAGATCAATTTATGTACAGTAGTGCTTTGTCTTATAGATTTGACATATTTTTGTCCCCCGTCTGTCTGTCCATCTGCCTGTCCATCCATCTGTCTCAGCCACTCAAATTGCTCATTGCTCTGCTTACCCTGAGCAGAAAATGTTCATTATCGAACTTAGTCAAGGTATTTATGTAATGAAACTATACACCAAGTTTCATCACTCTCACTTAATTAGAACTCAAGTTATCATGTCCCAAAGCACCAACCACTTAAATTGCTTATCTCTGCTTACCCTAAGCAGAAAATGTTCACCTTCGAACATAACAACTCTGCTTTTAATTGAGGTAGAATGTTTAAACTTAAAACAGGGGGGTTGGATGGCCGAATGGTTAGTATGTGCGCGCTGTATCATAAGGCCTGTCATTGAGTCAACTAGCGTGGTTTCGAATCCCGGGTTGTACGTGACAAGGAGTAGGGTCGCCTGTCCAATCTCGTGGGTTTTCTCCGGGTCCTCCGGTTTCCTCCCACTGCTAAATACCCCTATGCGCAAGCGAATTATTGAAATAAAATTAAACCATATGTTAGTCCCGAAATGACCTACTTTGTGTCGAGTGGACATTAAACCCCATTTCTCCTCTCTCTCTCTCTCTTTAAACTTGATGCAGATGTCCATTAGGTGAATGTCTTGACTGAGTTCAATGATTAACATTTCGAGCTAAAGCTAAGCAGAGCTAAGCAATTTCATTGGTCGATGCTTTGGGATAAGATAACTTTGATTCTATCTGATAGAGAGTGATGAAACTTAGTATTACATAGTTGATAAGCAGTTTGATTGCTTGATACTTTTGAAAAAATAAATGTGCTATTAATTAATATGTATCATCTATTTATTTTGGGATTTCGGCGGGGGACATCAGCATCACTTTTGGCTTGTTTGTAAATCATTTCTTATACATTACCGGTACTACTTTTATAGTTTCAACAGATTCTGATGGAGAGACCATTGAAGCAGCTGCAGCATTTTTATTTGAACTGTTTAAAACAACTGATATTGTTAGTCAAAGAGAAACAGTTAGATTGAGGAATACATTTGGACCGTTTCCAGCAACAGCTGCTACCAAAACATGTGATATTGTAAAAAGAATTTCAGCATGGTTACCTGATGATTTCTTAGAGATCTCAGATAGCAAACGTGGAGATGGGGATGGAGAGGCCGATGATTTTGAATTTGGCAGTGGTATTAAATTCTCAGAATTTTTAGACGATTTTGACCAAGATTTCTCTAGCTCTGAATCTGAAGACGAAAAAGAAGCAAAAGAGTGGGATATAGAATACACTGCTTCAAGTTCAAACACTGGGACAATATGTTACTTAGATAACAATGATCAGGACAGAGGACCCAAGGCCAAGAAAGACATGAAGTGGTTGGAGACAGAAATAAGAAAATATTTTGTTGAAGAAGAGACGTCATTAGGAATGCCAGTTTCACAATTAACATCTACAGTATTTGATGTTCTGTCTTCTACTAGATCAGATAATGAGCTACAAAATGAGGTATGTTGGGTTTTAATTTCACCGTCTTTTAATTTCACATACTAGAGATTTATGGAATTACATGTAGTTGGGTGGTTGGTTGGTCGAGTGGTCTAACACGTACGATTTAGATAGATCATATTGTCTGTCAATGTGGCATGGTTTCGATCCCAATTTTGCAGTAGGATTATCTGCCCAACCTTGTGGGTTTCTCTGGTAGTCTGGTTTCCTTCAACCGCTTAAGACCCCCTATGGGCAAGCAAATTATTGAATTAAAATTGTACTCTATGTTAGTCCAGAAATGACCTAGTTTGTGTACAGTGGATGTTGAGAGAGAGAGGGTTTAACGCCCACAAACTAGGTCATTTTGGGACTAACACATTGTTCAGTTTTTTTTCAATGATTTGCTTGCGTGCAGGGGTCTTTAGCAGTGGGAGGAAACCGAAGGACCCGAAGAAAACACACGAGGTGTTAGACAGGTGACCTTACTCCTTGTCACGTACAATTGAAACCACGCCAGTTAACTCAATGACAGACCTTATGATACAGCATGAACATGCTAACCATTCGGCCATCCAACCCCCCAGAGTGGATGTTAAACCCAATATCACTCTTTTGCCAAGTGCTTACTTACACACATACATGTACACGCATCTTTTTATCAAAAAGTGTCAATATATCTTTCATGTATTTTTAGGGCTACTTTTTTACTCTCATTTTAATATATCTTTTATGTATTTTTAGAGCTACTTTTTTACACTCATTTTCTGAAAATCAATCCCATTTTATTTGCATTAGACCAACATTTTCGCCATGGACAGCGGACCTAAGTGGTGTGTTATTTCTATATATTTGTTTTTTAAGTTATTTGACCTATTGGGATTTGACAGATTTGAGTTAATACAGATGTTATTAGAAAATAGAAAGAAAGTTGTTAAATCTGTTGTAACAGAGGTTACTAAAGCTGTTCTTTCTGCTATGCCAAGTAAGTAATCTGTTTTAACTTTTTAAGCATTATTTTCTTCTTGTAGATTACAGTAATTACCTTTTCTTGTAGATTGCAGTAATTATATTTTCTTGTAGATTACAGTAATTACATTAAGTTATCTCTTTTCTCTTTAAACCATTTTGAGGATATCTTGGAAATTTGTGTATTTTTTATGACAGAACCGAAAGTCGACCGCCCAATATATGGCTGCCAAGTTACTGTTCAGGTAAAAAAAAATCCTTTTTGTAATATATTTTCTCTTTCTACACATCAGTACCATATCAGAGTAACCATGTCTATTAATATTTTAAAACACATAAACATAATAATTAGAAAGTTTTATAATTGACAGAATAATCAGTACTAAGACTGTTATTTATTTTTTGATTATGTGATTAAGTCAGAGGAAGAGAAAAGATTGGTAAAGTTATACAGAAAGGAAGAGAAGAAAGCATCAAGAAAAGGTGGTAAAAAAGGTGATGAGACATCACACGATAAACAAAACTTTGATCCCAGAGAATTAAAATTTCAAAGGTATGTGTAAAATATACAACATTCTGTGCATCCTGTCAATTTTCAGTTTATTTAGCTTGTACGATTGTATTCTGTTTTTATTTTAAATCATCTCAGTTTTACTAATATACAGTACTGATTTTTTCAGTGTGTGGCGTTTAGTTTGCGATCATATGGTAATTACATGTACTATGATTTCAAGAAACAGACATCTTTTGAGATTGAATGGTTTGATAGTCGAAACGGTAGTTTTATGGCTAGGCTTCTAGGCTGACAATAAAAAATAGTGTTTGAATGTCGATAAGTTGGAAGTAACTTTTTATAGTGTGAATTATTAGCTGCAAAATAATTTATTTAGTTACTTCTATGCAGCTCTTATATTTTTATACCTAAATTCTATCGTGTGGGTTATTCATTCTGGCATGTATTTTTCCATTATAGAGAAGCTGCATTGCGTTCTGCTGCAACAGCACCACTATTTAGAGCCGGTAGAATTACTGGTAACTATGCACCAAGAGAAAAATATCCTTTTGTATTTGACACCTATGAAGAGGCTAGACAGTCTTCAGCATTTATTGGTGGAACCAAGGTTTGTCTTGATTCATTCTTCATCAGATTTTTAGAAACTTGTTAATCATCCCAAAACCTCTACATCATTCCACCTGTAGAGGTTTCCTTATTGAAATGCTTTTGTATAAAACCAAATTTCTGTCTAAGACAAAATTGAGTGAGATTTCCATTTATCTGACAAAGGAAGTCAGAAATGACTGATATTTGCATGTTTTGATTATTTCTACTATATTATTGTAGTTATGTTTACCGAGTGGTTTTGATAAAACGGAAAGTAAATTATATGATGAGATTAATATACCCCCTAGTGATCCAGCACCTACTGATATAGGTAATAAACTTGTACCTATAGCATCATTAGATGAGGTAAGTAGAATCTTTCAGTATCTGGTCCAGGAGATACTACGACTCTAGAATTCCTTGCCATTTCTTCAGTTTTTAATTTAAACGACCAAAACTTGCTGACATACCTGAAATTGTCATCCCGTTGCTCTCTTCGTCCAGCCTTAAAGGACAATATTGGTGTCAGTCATTATTACATATGTGATAGAACTGGTTAAATACATTCCAAATATAATTTTAATACAGAGATCATTGCTACGGGAGACGTGTAACAAGTACGTGAAGAAACGGGAAGTGACGCCAAACATGACAAACACGAGTTGTCCTTCTATACAACAGACTGAAGTAACGAGCGGTAAGAGACAAACGATCAAATTTCATTTCACTGATAATTCCGTTGAAGTTGAAAAGTTATTATATGGGACGGTGAGAGGGTATCTCACAATTCAAACATAGAATTGGCTGTCACTAGATAAGGGACACGAGAAAAAGTAGAAAAATCCTGTGCATTCCCCCGTTTTTATTCATTCTGTTCTTAATAAAAACATGGTAATGCACAGACTTTTTCTAATTTGTTCGTTATCTTTTATCTACTGACAGCCAATTCTTTTTTTTGAATTGTCAGATATCCTCTCATCGTCTCATATAACAACTTTTCATCTTCAACGGAATTATCAGTGAAATGAAATTCGATCGTTTGTCTGTTATCGCTCGTTACTTCAGTCAGTTATATAGAAGGACAACTCATGTTTGTCATGTTTGACGTCACTTATTAGATTTCACACTGTGTGTTAAACAATCATGTATTTTGGTCGGATTAATATTATGTTCTGTTTCCACCTGCTTATTTCGCAGTAACTGCTCATTAAGCCACTCAGTTTTTGAGAGCAATGTCTGGAGATGTGACTTTTTTATAAACACTTTATTAGTTTTCTAAAGTACATAGGTTCTGATCAGCTGTAAATAAATATTTAAAATATATTTATCTAAATTGTCTCCCTTTGGCGGTACAGTTTTTAGCGTATAAACTAGAAAATAATTATCCGGTTGACACATAATCAACAGCATAGTATACACAATGGCACTGTTATAATAATTATTGATACAAAATTTATTTCATCGCAATTTAGCTGATATATATAGTCCCCATAAATAAGCAGAGGAAGGCAGGAATCGATTTTCGTATTCCGTTTTCCTGCAAATGTTATTTAACTTCTTTATTATACAATATTTGTATTTTCTTAACATTTATATACACATAGGGTTGATATATAAGATCAGCCCAAAACCCATGAATCATTCTGGATTTTTGTCATTTGCGCGAAATAGGCAATTTTGTGTGTGTCACTTTTCAAAAGAATATAATATTGTTCTGTTTTCATGACATTTGCACCATTTGATGCCTACTGCGACTGTTCATTATTGTAACCTTCTTGTCATTAGAAATGAAGTCATTTTGGCAAAACTTGTACGTTTAACCCTTATTAAACAAAGTTTTATTTCAAATGTACCTGTTTCTTAATATTTGGGGGGTTGGGTGGCTGAATGGTTAGCGTGTGCACGCTGTATCATGAAGTCTGTCATTGAGTCAACTGGCGTGGTTTCGAATCCCCGGTTGTACGTGACAAGGAGTAGGGTTGCCTGTCCAACCTCGTGGGTTTTATCCGGGTCCTCCGGTTTCCTCCCACTGCTAAAGACCCCTACGCGCAAGCAAATTATTGAAATAAAATTAAACCATATGTTAGTCCCGAAATGACCTAGTTTGTGTCGAGTGGACGTTAAACCCCATTTCTCTCTCTCTCTTTCTTTATATTTGATTACATCCATAAAATCCATTTTAAAGGAGGACCCATCCTCAAAAGGGAAAGGGACAAAATTATATAATAAGCAAGACCATCCACAGCCACATATGCCGTGTTCTGCAATGCATAACCTTGATTGAAGAAATGAAATGAAACGATGTAATTGATGTTTAATGACACCCCAGCATTAACTGGGCGATAATGCGCCAGACATAATTATTATATAAAAATCGTTTTTGCTTTTGTTGCAGGCTTCATGAGAAATTAGGTTATGTATGCAATTAGTTTGATCATCGCTCCAGCCTAAATTGAACTTAAACATTTGCAAGGGTTCTCGAGACAAAGTTTTAAGCAAAGGAATTACTATGCCACCCGCGATTACTTTCGCATTATTATTATGGACTAAGCTATTATTGTGTACGCTTATAGCCTCCTTTTAAATGTCAAGATAAAATTTGTATGTAGTTTATATCAATATCAAAACGCTACAGCCCTAGGGTCCAATTAAATATTCAAAGCAGTTGGACAAACAACTGTGGTCTTAAATCCAGTAAAAATGAAAGTTATATTCTACTGGGCCTGGGCCGAAGCAACTTCATTAACATCCAAGTAGGCCGAAAAGACTCAAAGCAAAACCAGCACCCCCGCCCCAAATCGATTATTCCAGATAACTAGGTCAAACATGGCTGATGTTCAGTAGCACGATGTAAACAAACCATGATTTTTCAAGTGAGACAGGTTATATAGCTTGATCTGAAATTGGTTCCCTTGTGTAAGGAAGTAGTGGGGTGGGAATTCCAGGTAGGTCACTAAGTTTTAGCCGTTTTAATTAGAAATTGAAGAAATGGCAAGCAATTTTTGTGTCGTAGTGTCACCTGGAACAGACAGTAAGCTTTCATCATGAGCAATCATGCTCACTGCTGAATGAATCAGACACTAAAAATCGTTTCGCATAGTCAATATATATTTTGAAATTTGCCAAGGTATTTATATCATGTGTTGTAGTTCCCAATTACCAGATAAATTGAAGTTAAAGTTTTATTGTGATAAATATTTAGTTTTTAGGTGGGTGGTAACAATATTTCCCCCACTATCAAATATTTATAGTGTATTGGTTTATTTTTTTATAGATTGGACAATTAGCATTTAAAGGAACTAAGACTCTTAATAGAATCCAGTCTGTTGTATTTGAGTCCGCGTACAACACCAATGAAAACTTGTTAATTTGTGCTCCTACAGGCGCTGGTAAAACTAATGTAGCCATGTTGACGATATTACATGAAATCAATCAACATTTATCACAAGGTGTTATTAAAAAAGATGAATTTAAGGTAATGATATCCCAATTTTTATTTGCCAACATTTTCATATGGACGTATATTGTTGTCGCCCCTGTCTGTACACAATCTGTTTGTGGACACTCTACAGGTCACAATTTTTATCCGATTTTGACAAAACTTAAAAAAAAAGGTCTATCTCCCAAAGATCTTGGTTCCTTTTGATATTGGCATGTATCAAACCATAACTTCATGGATTATGGCCCCTGATTTTACGAAAAATCATGTTTTTAGCTTGTGGACACTCTAGAGGTCACAATTTTCATCAGATTTTGATGAAACTTGAAATACCAGTTTTTAACCAAAAGATCTTGGTTCCTTTTGATATTTGCGCATATTAGATTGTAACTTCCTGAATTATGGCCCCTGATTGTACTAAAAATCATGTTTTTAGCTTGAGATCACTCGAGAGGTCACAATTATTATCCGATTTAAAAAAACATTGGAATGTATTACCGTTACACCGTAATGATGCTTGAGTTCGAATTTTGTGAAAATCGGACCAAAACTGCAAGACAAAATGTAAAAATATGGCCCTTGATTGTACGAAAATCATGTTTTTAGCTAGAGGTCACAATTTTTATCCGAAAAATATCACCGTTACACCCTAATGATGGCTGAGTTCGAATTTTGTACGCAAATAGTGTATATATGATATATCAAGGTGGTGGACCCTCTAGAGGCCACAATTTTCATCTGATTTTGATGAAACTTGAAATACATCTTTATAACCCAAAGATCTTTGTTCCTGTCGATATTCGCGCATATCGGATCGTAACTTCCTGAATTATGGCCCTTGATTGTACGCAAAATCACTTTTTGTTTAGCTTGTTCTCTATCCATCTCTTGCAAAATGTGGGCGTATCCTGCCTGGCTGGTACTTGTTTTCATCAATTATTTGTATTTTATAGATATAATAGATATGTTTTATGCATGTGGGCCAATACACAACAAACCACGGCTTGTATGTGTGTGTGAAAACAATGTCCTGTGTTATAATAATGTGAGATATGCTTCATGTACAACACTAAGGGTGCAGCAATATTTTTGTCCCCCGCCTTTCGAAGAAAGCAGGGGACTATTAAAATGGGTTCATCTGCCTGTCTGTCTGTCTGTCTGTCCTTCACACTCTTTGGGACACAATAACTAATTGAGCTAGAATGTTCAAACTTGGTGTGGGTGTTTATTAGATCAATGCCTTAATGGAGTTCGATGATAAACATTGTCTGCTTACGGTAAACAGAGACAAGCAATCTGATTGGTTGATGCTTTGGGGCACGATAACTTTAGGGTTAATTAAGTGAGAGTGATGAAACTCCAAGTATAGATTCACTATATCATTACCTTGACTAAGTTCGATGAGAATTTTCTGCTTAGGCTAAGGAGCGATAAGCAATTTGATTGGTCAAGACTTTGGAACATAACAACTCTGCTTTTAATAAGGTAGAATGTTTCAACTTGATGTAGATGTTCATTAGGTGAATGTCTTGACTGAGTTCAATGATTAACATTTCGAGCTAAAGCTAAGCCGAGCTAAGAAATTTCATTGGTCGATGCTTTGGGACAAGATAACTTTGATTCTATCTGATAGAGAGTGATGAAACTTAGCGTATAGTTGATAATCAGTTTGAATACTTAATACTTTTGAAAAAAATAAATGTGTCATTTATTTATTTTGGGATTTTGGCTGTGGACATCAGCCTCATTGTTGGCTTGTTTGTATAATATACATACACCGTGGAACATAAGGATGAAGTCATTAGTCTTAGAAATTTATATTTTCATTCCTATGGATGGTATCAGTTTCCATAAAATTACAGAATACAACAATATTTGATTGTTACACTTCACATCACTATGATAAAATGGTTCATATTTTATATTTATGTAGGTTGTATATATTGCACCAATGAAAGCTTTAGCAGCAGAAATGGTTAGGAATTTTGGAGGGAGATTAGCACCACTTGGTATAAGTGTACGAGAATTGACTGGTGATATGTCACTTACTAAACAAGAAATACTTAAAACTCAGGTAATTTATCTTTTCACTTGACAATATTTCATTTATTTATAAAACAGATGATAGCTTGTCTGCGATAATTTATATATATATAATCACAGAATTAAATATTGAGACAGATCTAGTGATTGAAAATATTTCTCATTTGTTTTCGCATTATTAATCTATTCCATTGTACATGGTAAATTTTGAACATATATTCTAAAATGAAAAATGAAAAAAGTAACCCTATGGAGTACTTAAATTGGAGCCGTATGTATGTGAAACAAAAACAGTGATGTGATTTCAAAATTTTTCTTGTCGGACATTTTACCGAAATAAAGGGACATAACTCTTATCATTATTTAAGCAGATGGATTCATACCCAAATTAAAAATCACGTGTCAGCAAAATGTGAAACAACAACAGTGATGGGATTTCAAAATTTTTCTTGTCGGACATTTTACCGAAATAAAGGGACATAACTCTTATCCTTATTTAAGCAGATGGATTCATACCCAAATTAAAAATGATGTGTCAACAAGATATTCAAATCCAGTATGTAATAAAAATAGGTGAACCTCGCTATTTTTCATATTTAATTCCCATACGGTATTCATATTTGTCAGTAACATTCCTGCAAAATTGCGCATTTTAGTAATACATTGAATGAAAGCTTGCCGATCCTGCTTCAACATCAAATTCCAAACAGTAATATTCCTTCAATACGTGTCTTTGTTTATACGGTAGCAAATGAATGCAGAACTTCTGAAATAAGAATAGCTTGTGATGTCAGAACATCGTTTTCTTCTTTATAAAATGTCAACAAAATGTTAAAATCCGCGCATAATAAAAATAGGAACACTCGCTATTTTTATACGCCCACATTTTCATGTGGACGTATATTGTCGTCGCCCCCGTCCGTCGGTCCGTCCGTCCACAATTGTTTGTGAACAGTCTACAGGTCACAATTTTTGTCCTCTTTCAATGAAACTTGAAATATAGGTTTATCACCCTAAGATCTTGGTTCCTTTCGATATTGGCATGTATTGGACTGTAACTTCATGGATTATGGCCCCTGATTGTACGAAAAATAACGTTTTTACCTTGTGAACACTGTATAGGCCACAATTTTTATCCGATTTGGTTCTAACTTGAAATGTATGCTTATAACCCAAAGATCTCGGTTCCTATCGATATTCGAGCATATCGGAATGTATCTTCCTGAATTATGGCCCCTGATTGTACGAAAAATCGCATTTTTAGCTTGTGAACTCTATAGAGGTCATAATTTTTATCCGATTTAAAAAATCATATTATTAAATCACCGTTACACCCTAAGGACGACTGAGTTTGAATTTCGTGAAAATCAGCCCAAAACTGACAGACAAAATGGCCGCCCCTCGTTCTCAAATAGCGTAAAAATATGGTTTATCAAGGTTGTGGACCCTATAGAGGTCACAATTTTTATCCAATTTTGTTGAAACTTGAAACATATGTTTATAACCCAAAGATCTCGTTTCCTTTCCATATTCGCGTATATTGGACCGTAACTTCCTGAATTGTGGCCCCTGATTTTACGAAAAATCGCGTTTTTAGCTTGTGGGCCCTATAGAGGTCATAATTTTTATCCGATTTAAAAAATCGTATTATTATATCACTGTTACACCCTAAGGATGGCTGAGTTCGAATTTCGTGAAAATCGGCCCAAAACTGACAGACAAAATGGCCGCCCCTTGTTCTCAAATAGCGTAAAAATATGGTATATATAGGTCACAATTTTTATCCGATTTTGTTGAAACTTGAAATGTAAGTTTATAACCCAAAGATCTCGGTTCCTTTCGATATTTGCGCATATCGAATTGTAATTTTCTGAATTATGGCCCTTGATTGTAGGAAAAATCACTTCCTTTTTAGCTTGTTCTCTATCCATCTCTCGAAAATGTGGGCGTATCCTGCCTGGCAGCCGCTGGTTCATGTTTAATTCCTGTATGGTATTTAAATCTATGTCAGTGATATACCTACAAAATTACATGTTTTCGTAATAGGATAGAATGAAAGCTTGCCGATCTGTACCTGATTCAAGCGTAGCCAGTAATATTTCTCCAAAATTACATGTCTTGGTTTATACGGCAGCAAATGATAATACTTGTGGTGATGTCAAAACACCATTTTCTTCTTCGTAAATCAGTATTTTAAAATTACATTGATAGTTAAATCACTTGTAAAAATTCATAGCTAACTTCAGCGTATGGCGTACGTGACTCATAGCAGATAGCTTCAAAAGCACTGTCTTATATGGTAAGCGATTTTCGTGCGTCAATTTAAATTGCGTGAAAGTGCCACTGTGGATGAGAATTTCTATATGGAGTCTTAAAGGACGTAAAAGATATCGCAGACAAAATGACTGTCCGACAATGGAGAAACCTTGAGGTAAACACTTAGATTAAAATTATAATCACTCTTATTGGATTGATGAATAGTCCGACAAAGGGGAAGCAATGACTTCTGTTTCAGATTAGATTGATAAATTGTCCGATAAAGGATTAAGTCAGTCAATCATGGCAGATTAAGTATTTAACCAAGGTAGGTGTATAGACGGTATAACACGATAAATACGTTGATCACTTAATTACCTTATCAATCCAGCCTATTATCAGCGATAATCGGGTTGAGTGGTAGTTATACACACAGTACACTATATTAAATTTGGAATTTTGAATATTATTCACCATATCTTGATTTCCTATTGGGCATATTCCTGGATGGACAATTTCGGACGTTTGGAAAATAGCATCGGACATGTCCAGAATATACGGGCGAAATGCCATCACTGAACAACAATGTTCATGGGTTTTTTTTGTTTTTGTATGAAATAAGGTATAGTGTATATTTATTATAGATGTTGGTAACTACCCCAGAAAAATGGGATGTTGTAACTAGAAAGAGTACAGGTGATGTAGCGTTATCACAGCTTGTACGACTGTTGATTATAGATGAGGTACATCTATTACATGATGATAGAGGTCCTGTTATAGAAACACTAGTAGCTAGAACAATCAGACAGGTAATTAGTTTATAAATATATTTCAAGAATTTTATAAAATAGTAAAATCACATCTTCAAAATTATTTTGTTGGGAGAGTTGATAAAGAAAGTGAAATGAAATGAAAAGGGGTTTAATGTCCTACTGTTCTACTCCGGACTGCAGTGTGCTATGAGGGAAATTTTGCCCGGACAGCCGCACTACAGCCTACTCTTATATTAAATTCCAACTGTCAAAGGATCTTTTACATGCACGCCAAAGTGTACACGGGACCTCGGTTTTTCGTCCCATCCGAACGGCTAGACAGCTGTCCTTGTCAGGCCCTCTGTTCTGCATCACCTACAAGGGGGAATCACGCCGGAAAATCTGGATGAACTTTTTCAGCCAATGCAGAGATCGAACACCCGACCTCCAGGTTAGCGAGCCAGCGTCTTAACCACTTGGCCACCGTGACTCCCCAGGTTGATAATGACTTCATAGAATAGATCCTCAGTAAGGTTCTTCAGATATATGAAGACACTAAACATTGTTTAGAATTCCTTTATAGATTCAGATAGAGAGTTTGCCATTCTTGCAATAATTATTCAAAAATAGATAATAAAAAATGAAGAGTTCAATACGAACGAAACTAGTCACTAAAAATTGGGACAACTGGACGAATCGCCCATACTTATCTACTGTATTATCAATCTCGCCATCCATCCAGTTATGGCTAATTTCGTGACCCCATCGGGCAGTCGTGATTCCCTTTTCACCTCGGAATCCATTACGACCTTAATGGAAGAAGCTCCATTGGCTAAACGACAAAGTCAACTTCACCACTACCAACCAGTTAACAAATGTTAAAGCAGTAAATTACCTGATAACATTTTACCTTTCTACAAAACGGTCAGAGGAGCAAACATGCCCGCCTACAGGTAGAAGGCGATTTCTTAGAATCAAGCCACGCAGGCAAAAAATCCTACCGTCTTAATTCAGACTAAGAATCTATACTGGCAATACATTCTACAGAGCATGTGCCACTAAAGAATTCTGTCTCACGATGATCAAAATACACATCCAACATCTAGAACAAACTTGCCAGAAGATCAATGAAGATCTGCTAGAACCTTTGTGACCCTCGTCAACTACAGGAAGCAGAACAAGCCGTCTCTGCAGTGATCGAAAGAGAAATTTTCACAGGAAAATCTAAACTTCAACCCTGCTTCAATCGACTAAGCCTGGGATCTCAAAAAGAAGACCCCTTCCAAGGGAAATACTTCCTCAGTAAAGGGAACACGTTCAACCAACCCCGTAGCACGAGCCTCTAGGTTCAACCACAACAACAAAAGGTACTGCTCCAGGTCCTCTTCTCGAAAACGAATTCCACACACCACCAAAAACGAATCCAAGATCCACCATATGATTCTAGAACTTGTTAAAAATTTAAATTTTAATCAAAGTAGTAATGATTCTGCTAATAAAACTTTTAAAAACTATACCAAGTCGTTTGTTGTCAATCAATCTCCCTAAAGGGGGCTTAATACATCACATTACTTCGTCCTCAGCAATGGACTTGCCTTTAGCCCAACACTTATTGGAATAGACCGTAGTAAAATACTATTAGACCTTAGAAGCTTAATCCATAAAATGAGAATCACCTATCATTTCGCGAAAACACCCTTACCCTTCTGAAACATTCCAGTGGAAACTGGACAAAAAAATTTGCACCACGGAGCACCTGGACACCAAACCCAGGAGCAAACCTGAACTTATAGATCTTCTTTAGAGTTATCAAACATCAATTGCTCAACACAGAGACTATCAAATTCAAAAGAAATAGCCTCTCTAAATTAGAAAGAGAGACCATTGTCTAATTAAAAATGAACCCGGATCTCATCATTAAAAAAGCTGACCAGGCCGAAATGACCAATTTCTTAACTAAAATCTACCAATCGGGACATATCACGAAAAAGGCCTTATCATAGACGACCCTAGACCAGGCCGTTTCTACCTTTTACCAAAAATACACAAATCTTGTGAACCCGTGAAGTCCCGGGCAGACCCATCATTGGTGGGAATGGAACCCCCACTGAATTCCTCAGTAGTTTCATAGGTGAACATATTAAAGATATTATCCCTCGGTACACCAGCTTTATTAGAGACACTTCCCACTTTATTCAAAGATTACAATCCATCGACCTCGCCCGAGAAACCGATGTTATTTTCTTTACCTTGGATGTTACCTCCCTCTACACCAACATTCCCACCAACAAAGGCTTACGGGCGTAGCCAAAAGCATACTCACACATAAACCTGATTGGAGAATCCATCCAACATACTAATCACACTCCTGCAAACCGACAGACACACACTCTTACCTTTCCTACACCGCATGCCACTCCCCTCATATCAAACATAAGAGACCTAACAGCCAATTTCTGAGTCTCAAACGCATCTGCTCACACCACACAGATAAAACCAAGTTTAGAACTGGGTAGCTATTGATATGGGAGTTAATAGGTGTTATATAAATTCATTTTAATTTTGGTGTGTTTTTTGTAGGTTGAGAGTTCACAGAGTATGATACGTATTGTAGGATTATCAGCTACGTTACCTAATTATATAGATGTAGCTAGATTCCTTAATGTTAATCCATATGTTGGACTTTTCTTCTTTGATGGCAGATTTAGACCAGTTCCTCTTGGACAGACATTTATAGGTAAACTGATGTTATTGCATATTGTTGATAACATATTTTTTAAGACATCATTCTAAAGATGGACCCTAGACTGTGTTGTGGGGATAGAGCGCTACAGACTCTTCAATTTTGTATGCATTTTATTTTAGACATAGAATGATGTGATAGACATTTTAAACGTAGAATGATGTGATGTTTCCAGCATTTGGTGAATTTCAGTTGCCAAATCATATTAGCACTTGACAGTAGTCATAAATTGTATGACTTGTATCAGGATTAAACTTTATTTATTTCCTCATTTGATGGACTTTAAACGTTGAAAAAATAGACAATGAAACTAATACATAACATACATTTTTAATTCGTTATTATAGGTATAAAAACAACAAACAAGGTACAACAATTTCAAGATTTTAATACAGTTTGTTATGAAAAAGTTATAGAAGATGTTAGAAAAGGACACCAGGTTTGCTTTATTATTTAATTTTTGAAAGTTATGTACTGTCTGATTTTATTTTTAACCCCCTCTAGTTTAAAAAATTCTTATTTATATTCATGGTATCTCCAAACGATCTCAGTTCCTTTTGATATTGGCATATATCAGACTGTTATGGACACACTAGAGGTCACAATTTTGATCCGATTTTAATGTATAACCCAAAGATCTTGGTTCCTGTCGATATTTGCGCAGATAGTGTAAAAGTATGTAATACCACAGTTGTGGACCCTCTAGAGGTCACAATTTTTGTCTGATTTTGATGAAACTGAAAATATATGTTTATATCCCAAAGATCTCGGTTCCTTCCTGGATTAGGGACCCAGACTGTATAAAAAAAATCACGTTTTATTTTTTAGGTTGTTCTCTCTCTATCCATCTCTTGCAAAATGTGGACATATCTTGCATGGCAACAGCTGGTTGATATAATTAGATATCTAATCACAAGTTTTATTTCAGTTATTTGTTTTCTTCTAGGTGATGGTGTTTGTACATGCTCGTAATGAAACAGTACGAACAGCCATGACTTTATTAGAAATGGCTAGAAATCAAGGCGATATTCAATTATTTGCTCCAAATAACTCTTCAAGATATGGTGACTTTCAAAAATCAGTAAGTTCTCAGGGATAGCTTTGTATTAGATTCTATATGATTTTTAAGAAATTGTTACAAAATTTTATTCCTAATTTCACTCTTTTATTAGATATATGCTCAATGCTGATACTAAGAACACCAAATGAGTACAAGTAACTTTACAAACTTAATTCAAATAAAGTAAAAATTTATTGTCTTTATCATATATAAAACCATTTTTAAGAGGTACATATGCAATATTCAGACATGAATCATATTTTCTAGGCATCTCATTCAAGAAATAAACAGTTAAAGGAATTGTTACCAGAAGGTTTTGGTATACATCATGCTGGTATGTTACGTCAAGATAGAAATCTAGTAGAGAAATATTTTGCTGATGGAATGTTAAAGGTGATCTGTTGTACAGCTACTCTAGCTTGGGGTGTTAACTTACCAGCACATGCTGTCATTATAAAGGTAGGTTACTCCTATCTGCTTCACTGGTTTATTCAGTATATATTCTTTGTAACATTCTCTTGAAAATAGGCCATTGTATAAAATTTCAATTAGTTGTTGCAAAAAGTCGTAAAAGAAGTGTTTTTCTTCAAACATTCAGACAGAAATTTGTTTGGGACAAGGAACATGGCTACAATGTAGACTTCAGTGAAGTGTTCAAAATGAGAGCCAATGTTATAATATTGAATAAGATATCGTTTGAAATACATTCATTCCTAGTTACGTTGGTAAATATACATTTATTTACAGGGGACACAACTATATGATGCTAAAAGAGGTTCATTTGTTGATCTTGGCATATTAGATGTTATGCAGATATTTGGTCGAGCTGGACGACCTCAATATGATAAGTTTGGACATGGTACCATTATTACTACACATGATAAATTATCACGTTATCTCTCTCTCATGACCAGACAGAATCCTATAGAAAGTCAGTTTATAGCCAGTTTAACTGATAACTTGAATGCAGAGGTAGGTGATCTAGACTAGCCATAGTCGGCTATATTGATATCTTTTCTATTTTTTAATGTCCTGACATTTCAGTCAGCCTATTCCATGAATGGGGGTGAATGTAGTTGTGGATGAAAAGGTGATTGGATGAAAATATGATGACAGGTGACAGGGACCACCCCTTGTAGCTTGCACTGACATTGTCACTCAAAATCAACTTTGGTCCACGCAAAGAATGTACAGGTTATGAAGAAATGATTGCCTAATCCCCAGTCATTGAAAACAGCAGTCATTTTAATAATGATATTTATAAATTTTTATAAAATACATGTATTCAGACTACTGGAAAACAGTCTACAGGTGAACATACTTTTACTTGATTATTCAAGAGTTGTTCCATCTTGTGTATCAAATTTCTCTTCGTCTTTGTTATGTGTGGTTCATTCATTATAGCAATCTTAGAAAAAGATGGCTTGATGTTACGCGCACCTGATCCAGGCAACATTCAGCAGTACAAAATTGTAAACAAAATTGAATGCAGAAGAGAATATGCAGAGCGATAATCAAACAAATGATCCTATTTATTTTGATCTGGATGAAACTTATACGTACAAATAACTGACAACTTCACTTGGTTTCTCAATAAAACGATAAAACAATATCTTGGAAAAAATCTCAATTTCCTTGAAGTTTTTTATTCTTCTTTTTCTCCTGACATTTCTCATCCCTATTTCTTTATACATTATCAACAATAACTTTCCACTTTATGCATTAAAAAGGTTGTTTAATATTTTACAAAGTCATTGCATTTGTAAAACTTAAACAATTAAAATAAATTTTGTTTACATGTTATAACAAAAGCGAAAGTAGAAGGTTAAATCAAAAATGATTTCCAGCTTATTGATTCCCGATTCGAGACGCCAGACTTTCTTGGAAAATGCCGGTGACCTACTTATTGTTTCTGACAACTTTGGTGAGGGTATTTCTGGCACTTTAAATTGTCTGAAATTTATTTGTTTTTGCGATAGTTCCCTGACTTGGGGTTTGGTTTGGCCAAATAGCGTTTCCATTTACTATTGTTGGCAAATTTCTACATCAAATTACAACGTGATCACCAAGCTCATTTTGATCTTGCTTGTTTTCAAGTTTTTCGTTTCCATTTCTTTTTAATATCATCTTTAAGTTCCGAAGTTAGAAAAATTTAACACCTTGTCAATGTTTATATGTTTTTTTCTTCCCAAGCACCATTTTGTCAACTATTTTTGTTTAGAAATATTATCCAATGTAATGTTGGGCTACACCAGCATCTGTACTGCTGGAAGTTGCCCGAATCAATAATCGTTTTACTTTCAATTTCTATAGTAAAGGAAATAGATGCTATTTTAGAAAACTGAGCAGATGAATAAAACATTTATTAAATGAAAATATACATTCATGAGATCTGGATGAATTCAAAGATATTACTGAATCCATTTATGTACTGATTTTGAAAGTTAATAGAGTGTTTGTTGCTCATTCAATGTTATATCTATTTCAGATAGCTCTTGGTACTGTTACAAATGTTGAAGAAGCTGTTAAATGGATTAGTTATACCTATTTATTTGTTAGAATGAGAATTAATCCATTAGCATATGGTGTACCTTATACAGCTCTGGAGGTTAGTGCAGATTGTCTTTTGTGATTTGGGGGGGTTGGATGGCCGAATGGTTAGCACGTGTGCGCTGTATCATAAGGTCTGTCATTGAGTCAACTCACATGGTTTCAATTCCCCAGTTGTACGTGGTAAGAAGTAGGGTCACCTGGCCAACCTTGTGGGTTTTCTCCGGGTCCACCGGTTTCCTCCCACTACTAAACACCACTACGCGCAAGCGAATTATTGAAATAGAATTGAACCATACATTAGTCCTGAAATGACCTAATTTGTGTCGAGTGGACGTTAAACCCCATCTCTCCCTCTCTCTCACACTCTTTCTTTTGTGATTTCTTCTACATGTATTGCAATGTCATTTTGGCAGAAACTAAGAAAATTGTAGTCTCACACTTATGGTTGACTTCTTTAAAATTTTAATTGGTATTAATTTTCTGTATTTTCAGACTGATCCGAGGTTAGAGAAGTATAGATATGACTTAATTGTGAATGCTGGTAGAAAGTTAGATAAAACTAAGATGATCCGTTTTAATGAAGCAGCTGGATATTTTTTCTCTACTGACCTGGGTCGTATTTCTAGTCATTTCTACATTAAATATGATACAGTAGAAGTAAGTTCTATTTCTGATAATTTCCTTCATATATTAACTTGTTGATTACAAATGGGATGTTGTTTCTGACTCAATGTTGATAAGAAATGCTAGAAATTCAATCCCTGATTCATAATAAGAGTTGTCTTCATGAGCTTGAACTGTGTATTGATATTGCGTGAATTTTGACAATCATTACTATATTTTAAATGTTATAATATAATGAAAGAATTGGCCTCAATTGTACTGTATTTTACTCAAATACTGCAAATCGTCAATCATAATTCTGAGAATTACCAACGAAATAGCAAATGCACACCTAATAATTTATCAAATATAATAGAATTGAATGCTTCACATTAAAAAAATGAAATTCATAGCAACACACACATGACACATGACATGTTTGTTTAATTAAGATAATTCTATATTTTATGTTTGATTTATTAATATACAGGTTATTAATGAATCATTTGTATCGCTTATGAATGAAGCTGATATATTAGCTGTTGTTTCTAGAGCTCAAGAATTTGATCAGATTAAGGTAAAATATAATAGTATGATCATAAATATGAAGATTAGAATAAACTTACATTTAGTTTTTATCAAGTATGTGTTGCCAAATTTTAATTGATGTAGACCAGGGATTCTGTATTATCTCTATACGATTGATGGGTCAAATTTTAGAAAGAGAAAACCAGATTGCCAGCAGTCACGTAATTTCGATAAACATAGCTTGTTGTAAACATCATAATAATGTATGCCTTCTAATATGAGTCTACCACTTCAGTACATTTACTAAGACGTCACTCACTTATCATTTTTACGTTCAATTTTTTTTATTTTTTTTTTAAAAACTGTCTTAATTTCAGTACCCATTTAAGTCAACCTTCTTTAGGTTACACTCATTTTATGATGCCTTAGTTTCTTATTGTCCCCGCCTTTTGAAAAAAGCAGGGGACTATTAAAATAGGTCTGTCCGTGACACTTTTTGGGGGAGGGGGGGGATACAATAACTCTTCTTCTAATTGAGCTAGAATGTTCAAACATGGTGTAGGTGTTTATTAAGTGAATGCCTTGATGGAGTTCGAAGATGAGCATTTTCTGCATAGGGTACGCAGAGATAAGCAATTTGATTGGTTGATGCTTTGGGACATGATAGCTTTAGTTCCAATTAAAGATACATTATGTAAGATTTAGATAAAGAGCTAGCCATTCTTGCTATAATAGTTTAAAAATAGATAATAATGTAAAATGAATAATTTAAAAATTTCATTCAAATTACTCTATTGCGAGCGAAGATATTTGCCTTTGAAGGTTTGATAAGACGTGTGCAATAATTTCAACCACCGTACTAGTTGTTCGAAGCTAAGTCTCACTCCTCCATTTTTACCTTAAATCAAAATATGGCTGAACTGTTCTAATCTATTTAATATCGGAGAAATCCGATGCCATTGAGAGTTGATGTTGGACTGGATAAGTTAATTAATGTCTAATTAATAATTTAGAAAACATTTCAGGCCTAAAGAAAGACCTGCAATAGGCATAATGTATGTTTAAATGAGAGTGATGAAACTTGGTGTATAGTTTCATTACATCGATACCTTGACTAAGTTCAATAGTGTAAGCAGAGCAATAAGCAGTTTGAATGGTCGAAAATTTCGAAAACAAAAACACTTTCCTTCTAATTAAGGTAGAATGTTTAAACTTAGTGTAGGGCGGAGACTATTAAAATGGGTCTGTCCATCGGTCGGTCTGTCCGTCACATTTTTGGGGACAAAATACCTCTCCTTCTAATTGAGCTAGATGGTTCAAACTTGGTGTAGGTGTTTATTAGGTGAATGCTTTGATGAAGTTCGAAGATAAGCATTTTCTACTTATTGCAGAGATAAGGAATTTGATTGGGATCCAATAACTTTAGTTCTAATTAAGTGAGAGTGATGAAACTTGGTATATAGTTTCATTACATCAGTACCTTGACTGTGTTTCCAGAGCGATAAACAATTTGATTGGTCGAGAAATAGGAACACAATAACTCTCCTTCTAATTGAGGTAGAATGTTCAAACTTGTTGTAGGCATTCATTAGGCGAATGCCTTGATGGAGTTCGAAGATGAGCATTTTCTGCTTAGGGTGAGCAGAGATAAGCAATTTGATTGGTTGATGCTTTTGGACACGATGTCTTGGTTCTAATTAAGTGAGAGTGATAAAACTTGGTGTATAGTTTTGTCACATCATTAGGTGAATGCCTTGTTGGAGTCCAAAATTGAGCATTTTCTGCTTAGGGTAAGCAGAGATAAGCAATTTGATTGGTTGATGCTTTGGGACAGGATGGCTTTGGTTCTAATTAAGTGAGAGCAATGAAACTTGGTATATAGTTTCGTCACATCAGTACCTTGACTAAGTTCGATAATGAGCATTTTTCGGTTCAGGGTAAGCAGAGTGATAAGCAATTTGTTTGGTCAAGACTTTTGAGCTCAACAACTTTGATTCTAATTGAGTGATAGTGGTGAAACTTCGTGTATAGTTTTATTACATCAGTACCTTCCTAAACAAAGTTCGATGCTGAGCTTTTTCTGCTTAGGCAAAGATGAGGCTTCAATTTGATTGGTCAAGACTTTGGAACACAGTAATTCTCCTTCTGATTGAGGGAGAATGTTCGAATTCAAACCTTGTGTAAGTGTCTATTAGGTGATTGCCTTGACAGTGTTCGATCATGCACATGTTCCACGTAAGCTAAGCAGAGATGGGCAATTTGATTGGTTGAGACCATGGAACACGATAACTTTAGTTCTAATTGGGTGAGAGCGATGAAACTCATTATATCAATACCTCGACTAAGTTCGATGATAAGAACTATCTGCTTAGGCTAAATAGTGATAAGCAATTTGATTGGTCAAGACTTTAGAACATAACAACCCTGTTTTTAATTGAGGTAGAATGTTTAAATTTGATGTAGATGTTCATTAGTTGAATGTCTTGACTGCGTTCAATAATTAACATATTCCACTTAAAGATACATTATGGGAGATATTTATAGAGAGTTGGTCATTCTTGCTATAACAGTTCAAAAGTAGATGATGAAAGAAGAATACATTGAAAAATTCAGTCAAATTACTTTATTCTGAACATAGTTATCATCGTTGTAATATTTGCCTAGAAATGGTAGCGAAATGTGTCTTCACCGTCGCCGAACGTTTGATTGACAGGCGTTAACTCCACCTACATATCTCGATTATCAAGTAAAGTTTAAATGGCATACGGAAACGCTTTACAGCGGCCTCGCTAAGTACACTCTATCATTTAGCCTCGATCTAACTGACGTATTTTCATCAGGTTACCCCTTATCTGATTTAATCAATTAGTGAAATCCTATTTAAATCCGAGCTGTAGCCGAGCCATCCGTGGGTCTACAGAGTTGATTTTGGTCTTGTTGTTTAAATAAAGATCTAATTTATAATTTCTATAACATCTGAAGCCTAAATTAAGACTTGCAATAATCAGATTTAGCTCTTGCATAATGCATGTTTAAGCTAAGCAGATCTGAGCAATTTCATTTGTTGATGCTTTGGGACAAGATAACTTTGATTCTAACTGATGGAGAGTGATGAAACTTAGTGCATAGTTTCACTACCAGGTACTTCAACACCTTGACTGAGTTTGATCGTGAACATTTTGTGCTTAGACTAAGTTTGATTGCTCGATACTTTTGAAAAAGATAAGTGTGCAGTTAATTAATATGTGTTACCTATTATCTTGGGATTTCTGCTGGGGATATCATCCTCACTGTTGGCTTGTTTTATAGAATATTCTGTATAATGATATTAACCAAATTGATTTGATCTCTCAATATCTTACTGGTCAATTTATTGATAATGTATGTTTCATATATAAAGGTTAGAGAAGATGAAATGGTAGAATTAGATATATTATTGAATCATGATTGTGTAATGGATGTACCAGGTGGTAAAGAGAATACACATGGTAAAGTCAATATCTTGTTACAATCTTATATATCACGAGCACAATTACAGAGTTTCTCACTTATATCAGATCAAGCTTATGTGGCACAGGTAAGATACTATTTGTGTTATTATTTGCTATACTATTTTAATTTAGAAAAGAGTATATATTATTCAAACTGTAATAAGGAGCCATGATGGCTAAGTGAGTGAGACGCTGGCTCGCTAGTCAGAAGGTTGCGGGTTTGCTTCCAGTGTTGGCCTAGAAAGTTCATCGTGATTTTCTGGCATGGTTTCTCCTTTTTCAGGGGTGCAGGACGGAGGGCCTGACAAGGACAGCTGTCTAGTCATTCGGATGTGATGAAAAACTGAGGTCCCATGCACACTTTGGCATGCACATAAAGGATCCCTTGGCAGTTGGAATTCGTAGTGCTGCTGTCAGGGCAAAATCTTCATTAGCCCAGTCGGAGCAGAACAGTAGGACGTTGAACTGTAATAGATAAGAATTTAACAAAAAAATAATATGGATAAGTCTAAGAGGATATTGCTATAGTTTGCATTTTAAAGACTTAGTCACACTAATGAAACTTATCTGTCTTTTGATTTTATCCGTTTAGAATGCTGCTAGAATAATACGAGCATTGTTTGAGATGGCGTTGAAACAAGGATGGCCGTTGATGGCAAGTCGCCTATTAATGTTATGTAAAGTGGTAGATAAGAGATTATGGGGATGTGATAGTCCTCTGCACCAGTTTCCTCTTCTTAATCCTGAATTAATATATAAATTAGAAGAGAAAAACTTAACAATTGACAGACTTAGAGATATGGATGCTAAAGAAATAGGTAGGTGCATACTCCTATTGTTTATTGACTTTTTCATAAGTAGATACAGTAGACTCTATCAATTCTGACATCGTATGTGATCGATGCAATATGCAGGATTAGACGGCATGTCGAAATACTCGATTGCCTCAATTATACCAGAAGTATTATCGTACCTTCAAAATTTTATTGTATCGAACAATTGCATAACAAAACACAATAACATAACAATACATGTACATAACAATTTACTTTCAATATATATAATCATCTAAAGTTGATTGTTTTTGGTTCTGGTTTGAATATTGTAAAGCGGAGTCCTGCACTTGGTCTTCTAATGAACGAATGCTATCAACCCAATGTCCTTAATTTGAGCGAATGGTTTCAAATCGTGTAATATGTGTAGACATTTAGCAACATTAAATCTGTTGACACTGCATCTTCTTTATCATCTTCGTCTTCAATTAAAGTTACCTTTAATAATTTGCTGTTCTATATCCATATCCTCATCATATTCCGTCGGAATCCCATTGTCGAAATTGATAAAATCTCCTGTTGTGTTTGAAGAAGGTACCAAGGATTTGATTATTTTTGCAAGCGGTATATTGTCATCTTCGTCATCAGAAGATACACCAACCCGAATAAATAGCATTTGTCATCCAAGCCTTATGATGATTGGCCGACCAATTGACTGACAGGTTGTGTTTGTCCACGCCCTTAGGCCACTTGTGCGTCATTCTGTTGATGATGTCTTCAAACTTAGCATTTGAGTAAAGTCGTTTCTTACTGCTGTGAAGTTATCGGCATACTTCTGTTTGAATTTTGTTTTTAAATGTCTAATTCCATCTGTGTAGGTCAATGGAACTTTCTCAAAATCTGCTATAATTTGCTGCTAGTCAAATCCGTACGGGTGTGCTTTGCAGGATGATCACACGTTGTGAACACAATATTATAAAGATAGTGATTCTTCATTTTGCAATTTATATATAATGTCACTGTATTTGATGTGAGATACTCACACATTTTATGCTCACAGATAATTGATTGGTGATTGCTTGTCGGTTAAGACCCACTGATTGAAGGCCGGATTATCCAATGTTAATTGAACGCAAATCGTGTGATGGAACTGCTGATTGATGTCGTAATTCGGAATATTCAGAATCCGGACTACTCAAAACATTTTTGGTTGAAGTAATAAGGAAATAATTCAGGGCATGACAATGATGATGGATTTCAGAGAATGCCGTAGTATATGTATATATGTTGATTCGGATTAGTACTTTAAGATATTTTAAGGGATTTATAATTAAAGTCATTTGTATATAACATGATTTGATATGATATGAATGAATATTTCCTGCTTGTAATGTAACTGACGAGGAAAGTGTTTTAGTGTTAGGTGTTTTTTTTGGTTTTATCTGCTGGTTTGGCTTCTGGGTTTCTATTTGATTTTTATATGTGATGCGCTTTTTTTTTTGCATATACTAATGGATTCAGATGACACATAAAAAAAAAAACATGATTAAATGTTGAGGTTAGTAGTGCATGTAAAATATCCTTTAGCGGATAGATTTAGAGAAGAGTAGATGCAGTTTGGTCAAGAATTCTCCACCTGAAATATTATGTTGACATAAGTGTTAAAGACCATGCCTTTTGTTACAGGTCATATGATACATCATGTTAGAATGGGTAGCAATATTAAAAGATGTGTAGAACAAATACCAACATTAAGTCTTGATGCTACAATACAACCTATAACTAGAACAGTACTTAGAGTTAGATTAAATATAACACCAGAATTTAACTGGGACGACAAGGTAAAAATATACAATTTTTTCTTTCTAAGTTATGATCTGAATGTAGAATTTTTGTGTGTTTTTATACGCCCACATTTTCATGTGGAAGTATCTTGCTGTCTCCTCCTGTCTGTCCGTCTGTTTGTCCTTTCACAGTTTGTTTGTGAACGAAACTTATAATATAGGTTTATATCCCAAAGGTGTCCATTCCTTTTAATATTGGCATGTATCAGACCATAACTTCATGGATTGTAGCCGCTGATTGTATGAAAAATCATGCTTTTAGCTTGTGGACAATTTTTTTCCGTTTTGGATGAAACGTAAAAGATCGGGGTTCCTTTTGATATTTGCGCATATCAGACTGTAACTTACTGAATTTGGCCCCTGATTGTACGAAAAATTGCATTTTTAGCTTGTGGACCCTTTAGAGGTCACAATTTTTATCCAATTTTAAAAACCGTTCAAATCTGAATCAATATATACCATTACACCATAATGAGGGTTGCGTTTGAATTTCGTGAAATGAAATGAAATAGGGTTTAACGTCCTACTGTTCTGCTCCTATCACTAGGGACCGGGTATCATCCAGATTTTACGAAAAAAGGAAAGAAACTAACACTGTAACCCAGGTTTCGTTTAATCTTGTGTATCTAGCACTAATTTCTTTCACATCCGTTTAATATCCAATCTTTGTTTAACAATTTCTAAAAACTGTTTAAAATCACCATAAATCGTTTAATTTGTACTTCCGTATCATCCGAAGGACTAGACAGCTGTCCTCTTCAGGCCCTCCGTCCTGTATCACTGACAAGGGGGAACCACGCCGGAAATTCTGGATGAACTTTCTCGGCCAATGCAGGGATCGAACACCCTACCTCCAGGCTAGCGCGTCATCGTCTTACCCACTTAGCCATGTGATCCCCCTGAATTTTGTGACCGAAACTGCCTGACAAAATAGTCACTCACTGTATGCAAATTGTGTAAAAGTATGTAATACCATGGTTGTTGGCCCTCTTGAGGTCACAATTTTTATCCAATTTTGATGAAACTTGAAAGATATGTTTATATCCCAAAAATCTTGATTTCTTTCGATATTTGCGCATATTGGACCAGAACTTCCTGAATTATAGCCTCTGATTGTACTAAAAATTGTGTTTTTAGATTATGGACCCTATGGATGTCGCAATTTTAATTTTAAAAAATGTTCATATACCGTATATCACTGTTAAGGTTGAGTTTGAATATCGTGAAAATTGAACCGCAATTGGTTCCTTTTGATATTGACACATGTCGGACTGTAACATCCTGGATTATGGACCCTTATTGTATGAAAATTGCTTTTTAGCTTGTTCTCTGTCCTTCTCTTGCAAAATGTGGGCGTATTTTGCAAGGCAACCACTCGTTTATTTTGTATTAAGGGGAGAAACTTGCTCATTTTTGGGGATATAAAGTTTGGATTATGTTTATATTTTAATTTATAGGTTCATGGATCAGTAGCAGAACCATTCCAGATTTGGGTGGAAGATCCTGAAAATAACCACATTTATCATTCTGAATATTTTATGTTACATAAAAAACAAGTAAGTAGCACATTGTATTATTTTATCCTCTTTTGAAGAATCCAGAAAAAGGGAGTTTAATAGACAACTCAGAAAAAACAGTTCGACAAAATGTGGATAGAATATGAAATAGCACACCAATAAGCTTATAGCAAACAAAGTGCTAACACAAAATTCTAGGGGGAGTATAAGGGTTAATTCATATAATACAAAATCTACTACAAAATTTATTTTTTGGGGTGTTCCATAGAGTTGTATCCCATTAATAATTTTTGGGAAATTAACATAATTCTGCATTTAATAATTCCTTTGTAGTAAAATCTTTGTTTTCTAACTGTAACAGGTAAAATCTGGTGATGTACAGACATTAGTATTTACGATACCTATATTTGAACCATTACCTAGTCAATATTATGTTAAAGCTGTATCAGATAGATGGTTAGGCTCTGAATGTGTTTGTGCAATATCCTTCCAACATTTGATATTGCCAGAAAAACATCCGCCTCACACAGGTATTGTAGTACTGTATATATATAAATATATATATATACTTTTTTAGGGGCTGATATCTCATCTAGATCAAATCACTTGTACATTTTGATTAGCATACAATTTAGGTACAAAAATAAAATTTGTGTTTGATTTTTATCATGAAGATAGATTATATGACTTTTTCTCTTTACATAATAAAAATCTACTGTTACATGATTTTTGGAAATTTGTACATTTGTCTTTTAATTAGAACTGATTGTGCTTCACTTTTATTTGAATACTAAAAGAAATATTTCTGGGAGGCTTTCAATAAGATTAAACCTAATTAAGATAATATATTGGTGAACAGTTCAAGTATTTTTTGTTTGTTTTCAGAGTTATTAGATCTACATCCTCTACCAGTGACTGTATTAAATGATCCGAAATTAGAATCATTGTATAAGTTTACTCACTTTAATCCTGTGCAGACTCAGATCTTTCATACGTTATATCATAATGATTGTAATGTTCTACTTGGTGCTCCAACTGGCTCGGGTAAAACAATTGCAGCAGAGTTAGCCATATTTAGAATCTTTAGAGAATACCCAGGTTCTAAGGTTAGTAGTATAGTTTGTCAATATAAGTTAAAGTACAAATGCTTCATAAAACCCTGTCTTTATTAGCTTGGTTGGTACAGAAAGTAGGATGTTCAAACTCCATTTCATTGATTCACAAAAGTGTCCTTTTTTTCAACTGTTTAATCAAGGCCAGTCTATAATTTACATAGTCTTCTTGTTGTGGTAATTGTTAGCCAATATTCTCACTTATTTTCAAATTAGTATATATATACATTAAGATGTCGCGATGTTGCTTTATGTGGGTGGCTGGTAAAGGTGGATATATACAAGTTCTGAGTTATGAATATCAGTATGAGCAGCTGAACTAATTGACCTTTTAAAGCACATGAAAGATATTTTCAGACATTCCATACTTTAGAATTTTACAGTTTAGTTATTCAATATTTGTTCTTTTATTGGTGAACATTAGGAAGTATTTATATTTTGTTATATTTTGCTATAATAGAATATTAATATATCCACAATGCAGGTGATTTTATAACATCTTGTTTTATAGGCTGTTTACATTGCTCCTCTAAAAGCCTTAGTTAGAGAAAGAATGGAAGATTGGAGAGTTAGATTTGAACAGAAACTTGGTAAAAGGTATAAAGTTCTATTAAAAGTAGAAATGTTTTGTTAATTCACTGTAAAACAAATCATGTCCAGTCTTTACATCAAATAACTTGACTATAACCTTGTGTATTCTACATACTCAAACATTTCTTAAAAATAGCATTTGAAAACTTGACAGAGGTTACATGTAAATCATCTTAAATGTTACAAGCTCTACATTAATGAATAATGATCCATTACTTATTACAATTTCAAATTTTTAAACATATAGTAATTTAGGTAAATAAATAGAAAATTTGATTTTCCAAAGGGTTGTTGAACTGACAGGGGATGTAACTCCCGATATGAGAGCTGTAGCTAAAGCTGATCTAATTGTTACCACACCAGAAAAATGGGATGGTGTTAGCAGAAGTTGGCAAACCAGAAATTATGTTAAAAGTGTTAATTTATTAGTTATTGATGAAATACATCTTCTAGGTAAGATTTTTATTCTATAACCTTGTGTTAACTTGACTAAATATACCATATTCGTTGGGGGGGGGGGGGGGGTCAAGGCGCTTATCTTCACTGAATAAATTGATAGCCTGACATTTTCTGGTATTATTGACCATTGCTAGATTGTAAACAAAATTTCCTAAAAATGTAATTACTCTCTGGTAATTTTCTGATCTGCTCTCTTCAGTCCAATAGTTTTTATTTGGGGGATATCTAAAGAACCACTAAAGATATCTTTTCAATAGAGTTGAGTCGATCAAAGGTTACAACATTGGTATCAGCAGATAGATATTTGCCGATATTCAATTGTAGAGAAATTATGAGGTGGCTGAATTTGGTGTATGTTTTTTGGAGTTAGTAGTTGTGCCTTTGGTTAAGGAATTTTCACTTACTTTTTGGTAGACAATTATATCTGGATCATATTCAAAATATCTTAAAGATACCTGCCCGCATACAAAATGGGTGGTTTGATGATATATTTGGACCAAAAACATATTCAAACTAATCTATCCAAATTTTGCTTCAAATTTTTTTCAAAACAGTGTGTTTGCGAGGAAATACCAATACCACAAGCTATAAAAATGTTTGTTTTCCGTGACTGGACTGTCGCGGTACCTAGCGACAAGTGCAAAGCCGAAGGAGAATTCATTGCATATACATGTACAAGACGATGTTGTCATTAAATATACCTTCCTGCATACAAACTGGGTGATTTGATAATATATTTGGACTAAAAACATATTCAAACTAATTAATCAATCAAAATTTTACTTCAAATCCTTCTGAAAACATTGTATTCCCAAGGGAATACCCCGGGCTGTAAAAAATCTAATAAAACAGGTCGTGTTTGTGTCACGTGTCTTGGCTGAAGCAGTACCTAGCAACGGGTGTGAATCCGGAGGAGAATTCATTGCATCTACAAGACGATGTTGTCTTTAATTGCTGTCCATTTATCATAAATATCGAAGCCTAATTAAATTCTTGTATTATCCACTGCCCACGTCTTTTTCCATGGTTTTTTTCTCAGAAACTGTTGTACTCTTAAGCTCACGTGTACATCAAAAGCTCACTAATGCTGCGAGATCAGACAATCTTCACATACTTTTATTGGAAATCACCACCTGATAAATACTTTTGTGAGAAAGTATCTTTAATCGCTGTCCATTTATCATAAATATCAAAATCAAATGAAATTTTCGGATTATCCACTGCCCACGTCTTTTTCCGTCGTTTTTATCTCAGACACTTTTATATGTTTATGTTTCTAGTCTGCTCACCATCAAGTTTATCAACATATACATCAAGCGCTCCCTAATGCTGAGAGATCAGACAATCTTCGTGTGCAACCTTTGATGTCACGCGGGCAGACAGCCCTTAATCGTCAGGCTCCCAATTAGTGACACCCTCTCCTTTTTGTCCTGTGCGCGCTCCATGGGTGTTTTTCAAGGAATCCAGTATTTTTCTAGAAAGATTGGGTGTCTCCGCTTTCCATATATACCAAAATTGCCATATTTTTATTGGAAATAACCACTTGATAAATACTTTTGTGGGAAAGTATCTTTAATCAACAATCTTCAGATGAATAATTTTGGTTTGTACATTCGTCAACTTATTGGTATGGATTTGCTTGTCGTATTTAGATTTTTCTGGTCATTTGAAGCAGTTTTATATTTGCAACATTTATACATCTAGGACTGAATTTTTTGCCTTTTGAATACTTTGAGAATGTAAGCAAACACTGCGGGTTGTTTATAATGGAACTCAATTTTTATGTTGACTATAACCAGGTGACATTATTTAAAGAGAACGAAATCTATTCAAATCACAAGTCTTAATGATATGACAGAAATTGAGTTTATTAATATAGATAGTATCAATTAATGTCGAATTTTGTGACCACGGTCTATCTTCATGAGGTTTGAGGGTAAAATGTATAAGATTATCTAGGTTTAACCATAGTATAACCAGAGTACCCAAATTGTAGAAAATGTTCATGAATTCTTACTGGTTAAACCAAGTTAAGAAATGAACCAAATCTCTATGACCTCTTCAGAGAATATAGAATTCCGCCAACATAATAATTTGAAGAAAAGAAAAGAATAAAATAATAATAACAGCTACAAATTGATCTTTAAAATAACAGCATAAATACTAATGACCAACAATACTAATGATGAAAAGATAATGAACATAACCAATCAGGAATCAAACAGGAACATAACCAATTAAGCTTTCATAACCATTAACCATACCAAGCCTGAAAAGAGAAAAATAAAACCCGACAAAGTATCGCAAGGCAAAAAGGGGCGGGATTTGGGCGGGAAAATTGATGAGTTAAATCAAGCAAAAATTTGACAGGGTCTTCTTATAAACGATAGCAGTGAAAGTGAGGCTGGGCGGAAGTCGTCTGTATTTCGTCACAGTCAACGTGTGAACTACGTAATTTATTTTCCAAATACGGTCATGTCACGTGACGTGCTATTGCCCAAATATAGTCAATTTACCTCCGGTATGATCACGTGATCGATCACGTGACCAAACAGGATCCCGTTCCTAAAATAAACACAACTATGGGCTAAACCATAGTTGATATTATTGAGTTGCATAATACTATTTGCTAATTACTCACAACTCATAGTATTTGGCTGTTGATTAACATTAAAGCCTAAATTATCTCTCCCTGTATGAGGTCATAGGCTGTGGATGAAAAATTCACCTTTATTTCTTCAGGTGATGATCGAGGTCCAGTTTTAGAAGTAATTGTTTCAAGAACTAACTTTATATCATCTCATACAGAAAAACCGGTTCGAGTTGTAGGCCTATCTACTGCTTTAGCTAATGCTAGAGATTTAGCTGATTGGTTGGGTATTAAACAGGTATAAATCATTTCTTGTTGTGGTACTCAACTTTTATCAAAACTTTATTTGAACTAGGTGGGTTATGTTTTTTTCTTCCAGATTGCCTGACATCACATGCAACTGTCTTTTGGATATTGTTGAGCAGTAAGGCTTCCTTGTCTGATATGTAAAATTAACAACCAAAATGACCACCCAAATTTTCTTAGATCATACAGATAAATATAATTTGAATAGTTAATGACTATTTTTTTTTCCAGATGGGGTTATTTAATTTTCGTCCATCTGTACGTCCAGTACCATTAGAAGTTCATATAACAGGTTTTACTGGTCAACATTATTGTCCTAGAATGGCTACCATGAATAAACCTACATTCCAAGGTGAGAACATGTTGTAAAAATGATTTATTATGTCTTTAAATAAACTCAAATTATTAACATTAGCATTTATTAAGGTCTAATTATAATATAATCATAACAATTTAAATCTTTGGCAATATGGGAGTGCGGGAGTCCTCTCATGTTCAGCATAATATAACACAATGAGACAGGCAAGCCATGGCTAGGCAGTAGATCTAGGCCTACCTGAATTAGAGACAGGTAAGAGTAAGAAGGCAGCTCCCGAAGGAACCGAAGGCAGCTCCCAAAGGAACCGAATTCAGTTACCGAAGGAACCGAAGGCAGCTCACGAAGGAACTGAAATACAGAATCACAGAATTTGATGCCACGGCAGCTCCCGAAGGAACCGAAATACAGAATCACAGAATTTGATGCCAGGATTTCCTTGGTTACTAATTTAGAACATCGTGTTTATCCAATTTGGTCTAAAATTGCCGAAGCACATTTTTTGGGGGATAAAATTAAGCAGTAGCTTAATAGGATGCCTTCGACAAGTAGAATCCTGTTCTCCAAGAATGGAATAAGTAACAGTATGATATGGTATTGAAATGTAGCAATATCAACATTTATAATAAAACTGAAACACAGTCTTCGATTATTTAACAAATTGAAATATTTAATCTAACATTGGAACATTTAACAGTACAATGGTCAATATTGGAATATTTATAGCATAGGGATATCTCAAATCTGATAGCTACCATTACTTGTGTCAGTTTTCGTAATTAAATATCACAAAGGCTGGAGGTGGGGACGAAGGAGGTTGAGCTCCTTTTTTCGGTTGTCCTGACGCTAGCAGACGACTTCTGAAAGTGAGGCCGAATATGAAGACAAGGCTGAATATGAAGGCGAGGCCAAATATGTAGGCGAAGCCGAATATGAAAGTGAGGCCTAATCCGAACGCGATGCTGTGATAGGTTGGTAATTATGGAGGCCTGTACGGGTAATAAATATATGAGCAATTGGTAACTTAATTTGGTTATTTAAAAAAAAGTTACATATAACTCCCACTTGAAATTTCCAGAAAACCACCTGTATTTAAAAGTCTTGACTTTAAAATGTACATGGTACATAGCATATGATAGTTGTTTTCTAGCATTTCTAGCTGAATTACTGAGTATTGTTCTGGAAAATATAATTTCTAAAATAGCTCCAGTGCCTCTTTTGGTGAAACATGCTTTTGAACTGCATTCATAATCTATAAAAAAAATTTTTTTTAAATAGTTTCTGTGCCCCTTTTAGAAAAACATGCTGTTGCACAATAAACTGCATTGGTAATTTACACAAAATTTATGCCTTCAATATCTCAAGCACTGCTTTATGTTTTCGCACAATAAACTGCATATAAAATTGATTAAAATAATAGTTCCAGCACCCCTCTTACAAACCAAATTACTTATTACAGGTAAGCATATCAATGCAACATAGAAAATGTTTACCATACCCATTGTCGGACTATTCACCTCCATTTCACAAGAGAAGGGGGTTAATTACTCTTTCAAAGCCTATTGATTGAATCTTGAGTTTAAAATTAAATGCTCATCTTTCTTACCTGATTGATTTCAGCTGTAAAGACCTATTCTCCATCTAAACCTGTATTGGTATTTGTATCGTCCAGGCGACAAACTAGATTAACAGCATTAGATCTGATCGCATTTTTAGCTGCAGATGAAAATCCTAAACAATGGCTGCATATGCCAGAAGTTGAGGTAAGTCATTTATATTTGTCTTCCATTATGACTACTTTTTTGGATTGTTCATAATTTTTAATTCTCACCAGATTTGTGAAGATTTTGTAGAGAACACCAAATTGTGCTTTTATACACAACACTATATGTGAAAGTATATTGTTGTCACTTCCTTATGTCACTATTTACGTCAGATTTTTTCATAATTTGCAGGATTATTTCTTCAAAGTAATCTCTCCATGTACTAATACATCTTTTCAACGGAATACAGATCAGATTTCCCGTGCTTAATGGGAGAACCCTACTGAAATTTAAAATATTTTAAATGCATATAACTGATTTATGAATTCTTGTTAACATAATACCTGTCAGAGATCTTGATTGGTGGAATTATTCTTTAGGATTTTAGGAAGGACCCTATTGCTTTTTATACACTCATATTTTCATTATGGCCCCTGATCGTGCACAAAAAAAAAAAAACGTGTTAGCTGGTTACATTGTTATACGCCCACGTCCGTTCGCATTTTGTTTGTGAAAACTTTACAGGTCACAATTTTTATCCGATTTTGATGAAACTTGAAATATATCTTTATATCTCATCTCAAATATCTCAGTCGCTTTGGATATTCGCACATTTCAGACCATAACTACTTGGATTATGACCCTTGATTGTATTAAAAATTGCTTTTTTTTTTAGCTTGTTATTTATCCATCTCTTACAAAATGTGGGCGTATTTTGCCTGGCAACCGCTGGTTATCTGATTTTGATGAAAATTAAAATATATGTTTATATCCCAAAGATCTGGGTTTCTGGATTATGGCACCTGATGGTACGAAGAATATTTGCTTCTTTTTTTTTAGGTTGTTCTCTGTCCATCTGGGCATATCTTGTTATTTGACTTTTAGAAAACATTGTATGGCCTAAGGTGTTCTTGACTGTATATCAGATTGGTTATTTTATGTGATTTACAACTAAGTCTCACTGGTTATCACAAAATCAAATCTAGACATTAAAAATGCAACCGTGTAAAACAGTAGGATTAATGGTGTTTTATTCAGGTTTTTATTAGCACATTGCTCTGTTTCCAAATTACGATTTATACCCCAAGAGAATATAAACACCTGGTCTAATAAAATACTAATGTCCATGCAATACAGTAACTAAAATCATTTATTTAATTCCAGAATGAATAATTAAATGAGCAATACAAATGCTTATTTCTTAAATGTACCATTATCTTTAAATCACTGACATTAAATATAGGACTTTAAACAACAAATTTTATTGATTTGGTATCTAGATGATTGAAATTATGATATATTATTTTTTGTACATTCATATTATCATGTGAGCGTATTATGTTGTCTTTCTTGTTCGTCTGAACCGCCCCTTCACATTTCTTTGTGGACACTCTAGAGGCCACAATTTCTGTCCGATTTAGATGAAACTTAATTGCCCCTTATTGAATGAAAATCACAATTTTTATTTGATTTTGATTAATGTTCAAATATATAATTACAATTAAAAATTGAATTCAGTAGTAATCAGACTTTAACTTCCCTTTAAAATTGCCATCACCTTTACTTAAATGGTTGCAAAGCATTTAATACATAAAACATAAAACAAGATTGTAGACCCTCTAGAGGACACAATTTTTATCCTGTGTAACTGAAATATATGTTAAGGACCAAAAGATGTTGGTTGGATAAGTTCAATTTTGGATTGCATCATATTGAAACTTCTTGATTGATGACCCCTACATTTGATGCAAAGAATGTGAGCTTTGTAGTTTGATGAAACCTATTGATTCTCATAATTCCACGACCTTCTGTTCTGGAGTTATCCCGAGTTTCCGGGAATGCAATACAGCCAAATTTCTTGATGAATTTTTATACGCCCACATTGAAATGTAGTCGTATATTGTCGCCACCCTGGTCCGTCCGTCCGGCGTCCACAAGCAATTGTGGACGTCCTAGAGGCTAAAGTCAATACCCAATTGACTTTAAATTTATACACAGTGTTTAAGGTCATGAGACAAAGAAGCCTAATGATTTTCAGCGATTTCCGATAATTACTACCAGAGTTATGGCCCTTGATCACTTTGAAAAATCTTGTGGATGCTCTAGAGGCTACAGTTAATATCTGATTGACTTTAAATTTATACACAGTGTTTAAGGTCATGAGATGAAGAAGCCCATTGATTTTCAACGATTTCCAATAATTACTACAAGAGTTATGGCCCTTAATCACTTTGAAAAATCTTGTGGATGCTCTAGACCAAAGTTATCATCCGATTGACTTTAGATTGATAAACGTTTGCATGGGGCAGAACTAAAAGCCAAACAATTTCTAATGATTTTCAGATAATTACTTAATGAGTTGTTACTCTTAATCAGATTTTAGTGTATTATAAATGTTTTGGGACACAATAACTCTCCTTCTAATTGAGCTAGAATGTTCAAACTTGGTGTAGGTGTTTACTAGGTCAATGCCCTGATGGATTTCGAAGATGAACATTTTCTGCTGAGGGTAAGCAGAAAAAAGCAATTGATTGGTTGCTTTGGGACAGGATAACTTTAGTTCTGATTAAGTGAGAGTGATGAAACTTGGTGTATAGTTTCATTACATCAATACCTTGACTAAGTTTGATAATGAGCATTCTCTGCTCAGGGTAAGCAGAGCGATAAGCAATTTGATTGATCAAGACTTTGGAACACAATAACTCTATTTCTAATTGAGGTAGAGTGTTCAAACTTGGTGTAGGCATTCATTAGGTGAACGTCTTGATGGAGTCCCATGATAAACATTGTCTGCTAACTGTAAGCAGAGCTAAGCAATCTGATTGGTTGATGCTTTAGGGCATGATAACTTTGGTTATAATTAAGTGAGAGTGATGGAACTCCGAATATATATTCATTATATCATTACCTTGACTAAGTTCGATGATGAGAATTTTCTGCTTAGGCTAAGGAGCGATAAGCAATTTGATTGGTGAAGACTTTGGAATGTAACAACTCTACTTTTAATTGAGGTAGAATGTTTAAAGTTGATGTAGATGTTCATTAGGTGAATGTCTTGATGCTTTGGGACAAGATAACTTTGATTCTATCTGATAGAGAGTGATGAAACTTAGTATAAATGTGCGATCAATTAATATGTGTCATTTATTTATTTTGGGATTCGAGGGGGGGGGGGACATCACTGTTGGCTTGTTTCTTGATCAAATGGTAAGGCAGTTTTGGGAACATTGAGGAATGTCAACGTACAAAAGAGATTGTTAATTTAGGCTTATGGAGGAGTGCTATTGATATTCAGAATACGGTACTTCGATCATAATGTTCAGAGTTATTGTGTTGACATTTAAGTCTGGTAAGGAATTACTTGTAAATCGAGACCTCAATGTAATTATCATCTTCTTAACAATAATTAAGAGCTATTTAGTCAGTTGTACTGGGTATTTTTCAAGTGAATAACTACAATGATTAATTTATGCATGATGGTAATCAATATTCTAGATAATTACACTCTACTTTTTGTAAAAAGAGGAGGGACATTAAAACGGGTTGGTCTGCCTTTCTGTCACACTTTTTGGAACACAATAACTCTGCTTCTAATTGAAATAGTATGTTCAGACTTAATGTTTATAAAAATGTGATTACTCTCATCTATTTATTTTGGGATTGAGTCAAGGAATTGATACCTTACTGTGGACTTGTTGTTCAAGATAAAGGAGCACAATACTGAAACACGTACAAGTTACAGCAAATAAACAAGAAAATAGAAAAACAAAAAAAAAATCCTTGACTAAATCAAAATTTTGTGGTCATTTTGTTAATCTTTTTTGTTTAAAATTTAATCTGTGACAAAAATACCAGTAGTAAAAATGCATTTACATGATATTATTCAAATGATGGTATTGGGAGTATTTTTCTTTGAGGTGTATTTGTTTAGGGTGTATATATGTCCGTTATCAGTGGCACTAGAAAAATTGCTAAATGGCACATTTATAATGTTGAATATCAATTTCTTGTCATGTTAACATCCAACTTCACATATACATTGCATTATTGTCATTATGGATCAGTTACTTTTCCGCCTTATGTGACACATGTTGTTTGTAAATAAAAGCTATAATTAGAGATATAGATAAATGTATGTAGGGAAACAGGAGATTTTTTTCTGAATAGTAGTTATATTGTATGAAAATCAATATTATAATGAAAGAAACGGGATGAATATTAAGGTGATTGTATTTTAATGGTGTACACAGGTGTTATAAGTTTGTTGATTACAAATTCATTATGATATATAGAAATATCTATGTGATATTTATATGCATTTATTTCTTTACTTATTCATTAAAGCCTCTGGATGTGATTTGGGGTATTGAAGAATCCCTTGCAAACTACAAGATCTTAAAATTGAATCTCTAAAAGAAATATCAGTCCAAAAATAGTTTAATTCCTTTCAGTTTTTACAAAGATATGATGGATCAAAATTTTGTCAACATTCAGCATCCATTGCAAACGATTAGACTGAATATGGTGAAAAGCCAGCACCACCTGTAACCTTCGCTAAAATTTTTTGGTGGGTTCCTTTATAATCTGATAGAGGTCCTGTGTGAATGTTGTCTTGCACGTAAAAGAACCCTTGGTAGTTTGAAAACTGAAGAAAGTTTTATATTTTTCAATAAATCCAAATGACACACACTCACACAGATAACTTCTATGTTGTTTTCATTTCTTTTCACAGAAAGACAGTAAGCCAATATTTTGTTATAAAGAGTATACAGAATTTGTTAACTGTTTCTTTATTCTATCAAAAGATATATAATGATGACAAAGACTTGCATCTATTTTAGTCAAACTTTGGGTGCCCTCATTCAGGTGATACCCTGAATTAAAATATTTGTTAGTTGCATCACCACTATATACTTTTAAAATTGGTCAAATTTGTGTATTAATATTTATTTTAAAAAATTAACAGTTTATCATGTTTCTACTCTTTCAAGTTGACAGTT